TAGTGTCTCCTTGCTCTGTTCTGACAACTGCCTCTCAGTCCAAGTATAGGTTTCACATTAACACAATCAAATGTTCTGGGATTCCCATTCTTCTCAGAGTCAGCCACAGCTTGTTTGATCCACACAATCAAAAGCCTTTGCACAGTCAGTGAAGCACAGATAGACATTCTTCTGGTGTTCTCTGCTTTCTGCCAAGATCCATCTAACATTAGCTAGAATATCCCTAGTACCACGACCTCTTCTAAATTCACCCTACATTCTCTATTGACATATTGCTCCAAACGTTTTTGGATAATTTTCAGCAAAATCTTGCTTGCATGTAATATTAATGATATTGTTTGATAATTCCCACACTCTATTGGGTCACCTTTTTTTTGGAATGGGAACAGATATCGATCTTTTCCAGTCAGTCAGCCAGCTGGCTGTCCTCAAGATTTCTTGGCACAACTTAGTGAGCACATCCAAGGCAGCGTCTGTCTGTTGAAATATGTCGATTAGTATGCTATCAACTCCTGGAGCCTTGGTTTTTTGCCAATTCCTTCAGAGCAATTTGAACTTCCTCCTTCATCACCATAGGCTCTTGTTCATATGTCATTTCATGAAATTCTTCTGTGTCAGCCAATTCCTTCTGATACAGTGACTCTGTGTATTCCTTCCATCTTCTCTTGATACTTCCTGGATCATTTAACATTCTACCCAAAATATCCTTAAGTATTGCCACCCGTGGCTTGAATATGTTTTTCAGCTCCTTCAGCTTAAGAAACGCCGAGCAAGTTCAGCCCTTTTGATTTTCTGACTCCAGCTCTCTACGCATTTCATTATAGTATCTTGCGTTGTCGTCCTGAGCTGTGTTTTGAAATTTTCTATTCAGCTCTTTGATTTCTTGGTTTCTCCCTTTAGCTTTGGCTTCTCGGCACTCTCATGCAACACTCAGAGTTTCATCTGACATCCACCTTGGTCTAGCCTTTGTAATGATCTTTTGCATTCTTCATGCACGATTTTCTTGATATCCTCCCAGAGCTCACTTGGTCTACGCTCATTGGTACTCAGGGCCTCAAACCTGTTCCTGAGATGGTTTTGAAATTTGA